AGCTCAGGTCATGATCCCAGGGTCCTGGGATCGAGCCCCGCATCGGGCTCCCTGCCCCTCGGGAGGCCTGCTTCTCCCTCTCCCACTCCCCCTGCTTGTGTTCCCTCTCTCGCTGTGTCTCTCTCTGTCAAATAAATAAATAAATAAAGATATTTTTGTCTATATGAATGACCACCAAAGGATGTTCACTACAGAGGAGGCTCTTAATAATCAAGTGGACAAAATGGCATGCTCTGTGGATGTCAGACAACCTCTTTCCCCAGATACCCAGCACTTATTCAATGGGCCCATGAACAAAATGATTATGGCAGGGATGGAAGCTAGCCATAGACTCAACTACACGGACTTATCATTATCAAGACTGACCCGGCTAATGCTATTGCTGAATGCCTTATCTACCAACAGCAGAGATCAGCACTGGGTCCCTGATAAGGCACCATTGCCCAGCCACCTGGTAGCAGGTTGATTACATTGGAACTCTTCCATTTTTGAGAGGGCAGAAAATCCTCCTCACTATAATAGACACATATTCTGGATATAGATTCCTTCTCTACCCATAATTCTGCCAGGACCTCCGTCAGTGGACTCCCAGAATGCCTTATTCACCATTACAGTATTCCAACAGCATTGCTTCTGATCAAGAAACTCATTTCATACCAAGAGAAATGCAGCAGTGAACTTAAAAAGCCTATAGAATTAACTGGTCTTACCACATACTCCATTATCTATAAGTAGCTACTTTAACTTAAAGGTGGAATTGCTTACTGAAAATTCAGTTATGGTGCCAGATGTGAGAAAACATCTTCAAAGACAGGGTTCCAACTTGCAAAGTGCACTATATACTTTGAATCAGAGGTCATTATATGGTGTTGTCTCCTCCACAGCCAGAATACGTGGATTCAGGAACCAAGGGATGTAACTGGGAGTGGCTCCTCTCACCATTATATCATAACCTACTCACAAATTTTTGCTTCCCATCCAGGCAACTCAGATTTGCTGCTCTAAAGGTCTTTGTTCCAAAGGGAGGAAAGTTTCCAGCAGGGGACACAACAACACATGCACTACATTGGAAGATGAGGCTGCCACCCGGCCATCTTAAGCTTCTTATGTCCCAAACCAATGGGCAGTAAAAGGCATCTCTCTACTGCTGGAGTGACTGATCCCAGTTACCAAGAGGGAACTTAGGTTGCTACTAACCCATGAGTACAAATAAGACTATATCTGGAACCCAGGGCATTTCCTGGGGCATATCTTAGTACTTCCATGCCCAATAGTAAGTGTTAATAGAAAACCGTATTAAAAAAGGGGCAGGGTAAACAGTATGGAGATTCCTCAGAAAGTTGAAAATAGAGCTACCCTACAACCCAGAAATGGCACTACTAGGTATTTACCCAAAGGATTCAAACATAGTGATCCGAAGGGGCAC